TTAAATTAAATTAAGATCCTGCTTATAAATATTGTAAGGACTATATAATATAATAAGAGCTATATATTGTAAAATTACTTTATATGGTATATCTGGGTGTATGACATTATTTATTTCTTTTTCACTATCATATTACGCGCGTCGCCATCTTCGCGCTCAACGGTACTGTGACAGACAGGTCATAACCGTATTAAGCGTTCTTTCTATTTAAATTATTAAATAAAAAACGTGTGATAAAATATTTTTGCGCGCGAGAAGAAGATACAACGACGACGCAGTGGGTAAGATGACAAAACATAAAAGGGAGAGAGATGGTAAATATATGCTGTAAGTGTATGCGGTAAGCCTTTGTCACCGATACATTTTTGGCGGCGTGCGGCGGCGGCGGGTGATAAAAAAAATAAGGAACGTATAGCGGAATGTTATGTAATCCATCGACCGGGGTCCTATGTTTATGTAAACAACGATGCCGCCGGCACCTTCCCGAGCCTTCCCCCTCCCGCGCCTTCCTCCGCGCTCTGCGCCTCCCCCCTCCGCCAGAGGACCCGAGTTAGAACCCGCCTAGTATTGCTACTTACCTATGTACGTTCATACAGGTATGTATATTTTCTTTTTATTTATAAAGGAAGGGAAAAGAAATACCCTGGTAGAAACGCGCGTATAAGTCGTACAGAATCGTACATCTGTTTTTATCAAAATCCAGATTCAAGTCATCGTACGGATAACTTTCCGAATTCAGGTAGAGTTTCGCATTAGTTAATTTGCAGTCGTCGAATCGATTTATATCTTCGGACATGATATTTTTTCGACCTGTTTGCATAGCGAAAATGACGTAGCGCGGCTTCTCGAGCTGAGTAGCCGTCTCGAGAATTCGAGATGGCCAACGAATGCTTGGTTGTGCTCTACAGGAGCGGAACAAATCCCACGAAAAGCCATGCTCAGATATCGTCCGCTTTCCAAAATGCGCGGCATTGACAGCTTATTTATCTCGCTCAATAACTAGTGCGGTATTCGCCACTGTACTTTGAATAATTCGAGCGTCGGCTCTGTCGCCGGATCTCCCGTCAGACAATTGTTGTCGTTGAGCGCTCGTATTAAAATCAATTCGTGACGAGCGTTGATCACCACATGTTTGTAATCTTCGCAAAATCCCAGCACTACATAGAGCGGTACACAGAAATTAAAGTATCCGACCGCAGTAGTCTGCGCATCCCAGCCGGCATTTTGTAGAATCACGTTTCTGTTGGATGTTGGTAGTTTTTAAGCGTGCTAGTTATGCCCATGTTTCTGTTACAGTCAATCTTCACACCGTTGAGTTCATATCAAATCTCATGAATATAAACGCGACACAATTATTTCCCAATGCCATGTTATCCTGGACTACTTTCTTCTTTCTCAGTTTTTTCTCGACGTATAGGAAGCTTTCGTACGACAGTGCGTACCTGTTGCTGTATGGGTATTCTTACCTCGTCGCCAACCTTACCTAAACGTTGTGTTAGCGAACGGTACGTGTGAGTCTCAATATTGACGATGCGATCGTCGAAGATCGGCTCGTCTTTAATGTTTAGGATATCAGTCATCTCAAATGTTGCGCACCGCGAATCCTAAAGACTTTAAAAATGTAACGTTCGACTCGCTGAGCTTCTTCTTCCTGAGTTGGATGAGCGAGTATTATCGAGCTGTGATATCGTCGGCCTTGTAAAGAATACGTTATCTCTCTGCGTGCGCAGAGTCTCATCGCGCAGAGAATCATCTAACGATGATTTCTTCTCCTCGAAAATCGAGCAATCGTCCGTTCTAGTCAACGACGCGTATCGTTACATCTGTAATGCTCCGTGCAATGATCGGTAGGTAAATAATCTGCGCCGACCTCTCCAATATCTTATTTCCTGGCGGCACGCTCGGCGAAAATTCATATATCGTGCGCGCTTTTGCCGTCGCTGTACGCACCCGCGGTTACGTTACACTCTCGCGGATAACGTTTACGTTACATTATGTTGATCGACATGTCACATGGTTTCAATCGCGTCGCGGTGCGGACGTTTCCGTAAAATCGCGCGTTTCAGAAATTCATTTATGTCTCGCATTTCGTACGAACCTTCGGGAATTGTAATTTTCGCATCATCTTTGGCAAAAAATCAAAAATTACATTTGTTGTTTGATTTTTTCACGTTCGGTGATAGATACCAAAAATTGCCAGACCGAGCTCGTAATCGCCGTCACTCAAATCTATGGGAAAGTAATTCTCCGCGAGGACGGTGCTCTTCCCGCTCAGCGTAAGCGTCAGCATCATGGGGAAAAACGTTCGATTAATATTGAGATTTCACAGCATCTCGTCGAGCTTTTTAAATTCACGCGCGTCTACCGTTTGTAGAAACTGCAGACACATCTGTCCGCAGAAGCTCTGATAGTACGTGCAATTGTACTCTATCGTCGTAGCACCATTCCCGAAATATCGCACCAGTTCCTTGGGAGGTCGAAGATTACCGAAACTGTATACGACGCGGTTGTTCCTCTTCGCTACCTAGTGAGGCCCCATCGTTCAGATTCACGATACCGCTTTTGTTTCGACGCGCACCGCTCATCGATAACGCGTTACACATGAAAACGCTTCTAAAGTATGCGCATACATCTCGCGAGCTAGTTTAATTGCACATTGATAGTTGCGCCAGACGGCATTTTTATCATCTCTTTGGCGTTTTTTTTTCTTTGCAGCTGCACCCTGTCCATTTGTACGGGTCGAGATACAGTCCGCGTCCGTATTTGTACGGAGCGAGATACAGTCCGCGGCCCTGTTCCATCGCGCGGTCGTGTCGTTGCAGCTCTTCGAGCTGACGTCGCGCGGCTTTGTTGTCGTTTACCGCTTTCGCCACGCTGGCCGCTCCGCCGATCAAGGATCCGAGCGCGCCCAACATTGGCAGAAACGGTAACGCACCACCTCGTTTCGCCGTTGGAAGTATCCACTTTTTCGTCGTTTTTTTCTTCGTCGTCGTCGTCTTCTTCTTCGGTTTCATGCCCATGCCGATCTTGGTCTTGGCTTTCATCGCTGCCCAAACGGCAGCAGCGGCGGCTCTCTCGCCCAGAGCCGAATCACTCGCGGTAATGCGCTTCCGCGCCTTCTCGGCTAATATATTGTCTGCCGCGTGTCTATCGGTGAGATCGTTGCTGCGCGAATACGCAATGTCGTGTTCCCGACACGCGTATTCCCGGCCGCGTCCAGCGGATTGCCCGCGTCACCTCTGGCTAATCGCTCCGCAAGTCGAGTGCCTGGGCCGCAAAACTGGTAGCCCGGAATATGTAACTCGAAAGGAAGCGCGTTTACCGCTCGATTCAACAGACTACCGCCCGACGCTGACATTCGTTACAGTTCTTTATCTTAGATGCGGGACCGTCAATGTGTGTTCGCTGCCACGGCTGATTGTAGTGCTCGTCGCACCGATGATAGGTTCGAACCTCCGAATCTGCCTTCACGTGTTCCGAAAGCCGGTCCCAGACGTGTTCGATGTAATCGCCGTACATGCGTAAGAGTACGACCTTCGGTACATATTGTAACTGTTCGGCGCTCAAGTTTCGAATATTGGAAGGATGACTCAGCGCGAGATACATTTTGCTACTGCGCGATTCGCGGGATTCGCACGTCTTTAAATAGTCGTTCGAGAGTGCACAGCCTGTAGTATGAGCGTAAAATTCGTGCTGCAACCGCTGACGATACGCGTCACGAACTGTGACGCGAAATCGCGAATGATGGGAGGTTGCGCGGAGAAGCACGGTGAAATGCTGCCGAGTACTATAGGCGCGATCATTTGCGGCCCATCGAATTGCGGTAAAACCAACGTTCTCATAAGCTTACTCGAGAGCCCGAACGGTGTACGTTTCGAGAACGTATACGTCTATTCGAAAACGTTGCAACAGCCAAAGTATCGATATCTCGAAAATTTTATGTCTATCGACGAAATCGGCTACTTTACGTTCTCCAACAACAGCGATGTCGTTCCACGGAGTGAGGCGCCCAAATTCTATTTTTATCTTTGATGACGTGGCATGCGACAAGCTGGATGCGGTGAGAGAATATTTTTCGATGGGTCGCCACGCGAACATCGACTGCTTCTATCTCTTTCAGACGTACGCGAGGATACCTAAACATCTGATACGCGACAACGCGAACCTTCTGATCCTGTTCAAACAAGACAGTACCAACTTGAAACACGTTTACAACGTTCATGAAAATACCGATATGTCGTATGACGAATTTTGCGCGTTGTGCCGCGACTGTTGGCAACAAAAATATGGATTCATAGTGATAGACAAAGACAGTGCTCTGACAAATGGACGATATAGAAAAGGATTTAAGTAATTCGCGATATCGTAACGTGACCAGTCGCTGTCGATACTTAATCAGAGACGAATATGGTAGATGTGCGCGAACGTGAAAAAATTGCGAGAGCGATCGAGAAGACGAGCGAGTCGATCAGCAAGAAACATCGCGCTCCGAAGACCGGTAGAATCGAGGAGAGCATCGCGATGGACAGATATTTTAAACCTCTTATTGAGCCGCTGCGACTTTTCGCCGACAGCCCCGACGTGCGCACGACAAAGAGAGAGTCGCGCAACGAAGATACAGCGTCTGTCCATAAACGTGAGAAAAAAGAGGAAGAGGAACAAGAGGAGAGAGAAGAAGTGAGCGAGACGTTCGAGCGTTCCACGACTCTGCATAAATCCAATGATCGATCGCACGATGATGTACAACCAATAACTTTCACCCCGCATGTCAAAATCGTACCGATAGAGTCGCTGGAGAACGTTTTCGAAACGATGGAAGACTCGCTAGCGACGTTCAAAATCAGTTGCAAATGTCGCAAGATCGAGAGGCGTTATAAGCCGGCTAGGGCTTGCTGGGTCAAAAGTACGTCGAGGCTATTTTGAGGGGAGCGCAAGATAAAGAGAGTGACACTAGCGAGAAAAAATACATTACTTGTACTCTTAGTATTACACGTCAAATCATGAAAAAGAAATCTGATGAAAAGGGAGAAAAAATTAGCTCTGAGAGACGTCGGCTCGTCGAGGAATTGCACACTGACGGCGAGAAGAAATTTTCCGCGAAGGCGCATCATAGTCCGGGGGTACGACGATCTGTGGCAGGCTCGAGATGCGCCCGTATTCGGGCTTCAACAGAGACCACCACTACATACATAGTACTCATCGATGTGTTGAGCAAGTACGCGTGAGCCGTACCGCTCAAGAATAAGGGTGAAAGCGAGACGGCTAACGCTATCGCTGAGATCGTTCAAGAGAGTGGAAGATGTTCGAAAAATTTACGGATATGGGGAAAGAATTTTACAATGCAGATGTACAGAATATTTTGAAAAAACACAACGTTAATCACTATTCCACGTATTCGACGTTGAAAGCGTCAGTGGTCGAGCGGTTCAATCGCACGATATGTGGAAGATGTTTACACTCAACAGCAATTACAAGTGAGTCAAGATGAGCTGCCACATCTTGTGTTAAATTACAACGCGCGTAAGCATCGCACCATCGGCATGCGCCCCGCCGACGTAACTTTCGCGATCGCCGAGAGACTCTTGGGCACAGTGTACAGCGTGATGAAGATCGCGGGTCCTGCAAAATTTAAAGTAGGCAATTCGGTACTCGTGAGCAAGTACAAGACGATTTTTGAGAAAGGTTACACACCAAATTGGACCACCGAGATATTTACGATCGTTAAGGTGTAGCGTACCACTCCCGTAACCTATTTACTCGAGGACTATCGTGGAAAATCCGTCGCTGGAGCATTCTACGAGCACGAGTTGCATCGCGCTACTCATCCAGATGTATCTCCTGGAGAAAGTGCTGCAAAGGAAGGGGGACAAGGTATACGTCAAGTGGTTGGAATTCAATAGATCGCACAATTCAATGGATACACAAAAACGATGTTATTTGATAAAATTTTAATTGATACATTTTGTATACATATAACAAATATAAGTGTATGTTATAAACGTGTAAAATATATTTTTTTATTATCTTTTCCATTTTTTCGTTTTAGAGTATACTGATATAAAATACGTATATAAATGTGCGATATATAAAACGAAAAATAATAGTAATACATAATAAATAGCACTACATAAAATATAATAATAATAATACTTATAAAACGTAAAAACATACATAATGTGTAAATTATAATGATAATGGTACATAATAGTAACAGGTATGTCGATTGTATGAAAATATTAAAAAATGTAGAAAGACATACACAAAGCACAAATTAAGATATTAATACAATATAAAGCATAATAATAGTAATACATTTACACTGTATGAAAATATAAAAAATGTAAAAACATAATAGTAATATAAATGTTGATATATACAT